CCCCCCCCCTCAAATATGACGTCACAAAGCTCTGCCCCCCCCCCCCCAAAAACCATATTTCCATTTTGAAAATAAAACATGCTTCAAATCGCTTTAAACTATTGTCATTGTAGTGCGTATTTAATGTGGCGCTGCGCTCTGATGTTGTAGGAGTGTTGTTATAACAATTAGTGTTGTTATAACAATTAGTGTTGTTATAACAATTCTATATTTATTTAAAGTTGCGCATTTTGATGTGACGTCACATTTCTCAACCCCCCCCCCCCCCCCCCATTCGTCACACATCGTCACAAATGTCTGAACCCCCCCCCCCCCAGGTGCGTGACGTCATTTATGGACGGCCCCCAATGTTGCCTCGACGGCGGCGCATCAGCCAGCGGGTGCTGAACGAGGACCCTCTTCCCCACGTCGCACGTGGTGGTCACGTGGTGGTCACGTGACCACACCTCGTCACGGCCGGTCGGCGTGGATTGGCGGAGGCGGGGGGGGCAGCACAGAAGTGGGGGCGTAGTGCAGTCCAATAACGGAATTGTGTTGAGCTGGACCTCGCGATGATTCTCCTCGCTTTTTAGTTTTGGTGGCAGAGTTGGGGATATTTTATTTTTAAAAGAAAATCGTGCACAGCTCCCTGCATGAGCCTGCAAGCGGCATTGTGCAATTTAATCGTCTCCGAAGCGTCGCGCTGCGGAAGCGTTGTGGTGTAGAAGTGTTTGTTCATACCGTGTCTGTCTTTCCATCAGTATTGGATAGGCTGGTCCATGTCAACCCGGTACAAACATCACATTACCGGTCCTATGAGTGGGTAGGTGAGCATGTTAATCCAGTAGAGCTATGACTTACTGGTCCACGTGAAGTCAATATCGCTATGACATACTGGTCCATGTGAGGTCAGTAGAACTGTGACATCCTGGTCCATGTGAGGTCAGTAGAACTGTGACATCCTGGTCCATGTGAGGTCAGTAGAACTGTGACACACTGGTCCATGTGAGTTCAGTAGAACTATGACACACTGGTCCATGTGAGGTCAGTAGAACTGTGACACACTGGTTAATGTGAGGTCAGTAGAACTATGACACACTGGTCCATGTGAGGTCAGTAGAACTATGACACACTGGTCCATGTGAGGTCAGTAGAACTGTGACACACTGGTTAATGTGAGGTCAGTAGAACTATGACACACTGGTCCATGTGAGGTCAGTAGAACTGTGACACACTGGTTAATGTGAGGTCAGTAGAACTGTGACACACTGGTCCATGTGAGGTCAGTAGAACTGTGACACACTGGTCCATGTGAGGTCAGTAGAACTATGACACACTGGTCCATGTGAGGTCAGTAGAACTGAGACACACTGGTTAATGTGAGGTCAGTAGAACTGTAACACACTGGTTAATGTGAGGTCAGTAGAACTGTGACACACTGTTCCATGTGAGGTCAGTAGAACTATGACATCCTGGTCCATGTGAGGTCAGTAGAACTGTGACACACTGGTCCATGTGAGGTCAGTAGAACTGTGACACACTGGTCCATGTGAGGTCAGTAGAACTGTGACACACTGGTCCGCGCGAGGCCAGTGCAGCGGTGCCATACCGGGCGAGTGTGGAGGGGGTGCGCACACCAAGACGAGCCCCGCGTGGAGGCGCACGTACACCGGGTCTCTCTCCTCCACGGGGAACGGGTCCAGGTCTGAGGAGCAAAGAGATCGCTCCAACGTTACGCGCGTGTCTCTGTGTGAGTCTATGGGTCTCTGTGTGAGTCTATGGGTCTCTGTGTGAGTCTATGGGTCTCTGTGTGGGTCTATGGGTCTCTGTGTGAGTCTATGGGTCTCTGTGTGAGTCTATGGGTCTCTGTGTGGGTCTATGGGTCTATGTGTAAGTGTCTCTGTGTGGCTCTATGGGTCTCTGTGTGAGTCTATGGGTCTCTGTGTGAGTCTATGGGTCTCTGTGTGAGTCTATGGGTCTCTGTGTGAGTCTATGGCTCTCTGTGTGGGTCTATGGGTCTATGTGTAAGTGTCTCTGTGTGAGTCTATGGGTCTCTGTGTGAGTCTATAGGTCTCTTTGTGAGTCTATGGGTCTCTGTGTGAGTCTGTGGGTCTCTGTGTGAGTCTATGGGTCTCTGCGTGAGTCTATGGGTCTCTGTGTGGGTCTATGGGTCTATGTGTAAGTGTCTCTGTGTGGCTCTATGGGTCTCTGTGTGAGTCTATGGGTCTCTGTGTGAGTCTATGGGTCTCTGTGTGAGTCTATGGGTCTCTGTGTGAGTCTATGGGTCTCTGTGTGGGTCTATGGGTCTCTGTGTGAGTCTATGGGTCTCTGTGTGGGTCTATGGGTCTATGTGTGAGTGTCTCTGTGTGAGTCTATGGGTCTCTGTGTGGGTCTATGGGTCTCTGTGTGAGTCTATGGGTCTCTGTGTGAGTCTATGGGTCTCTGTGTGGGTCTATGGGTCTATGTGTGAGTCTATGGGTCTCTGTGTGAGTCTATGGGTCTCTGTGTGAGTCTATGGGTCTCTGTGTGAGTCTATGGGTCTCTGTGTGGGTCTATGGGTCTCTGTGTGGGTCTATGGGTCTCTGTGTGGGTCTATGGGTCTCTGTGTGAGTCTATGGGTCTCTGTGTGAGTCTATGGGTCTCTGTGTGGGTCTATGGGTCTCTGTGTGAGTCTATGGGTCTCTGTGTGAGTCTATGGGTCTCTGTGTGGGTCTATGGGTCTATGTGTGAGTCTATGGGTCTCTGTGTGGGTCTATGGGTCTCTGTGTGAATCCATGGGTCTCTGTGTGAGTCTATGTGTCTCTGTGTGAGTCTATGGGTCTCTGTGTGAGTCTATGGGTCTCTGTTTGAGTGTATGGGTCTCTGTGTGAGTCTATGGGTCTCTGTGTGAGTCTATGGGTCTCTGTGTGAGTCTATGTGTCTCTGTGTAAATCTATGGGTCTCTGTGTGAGTCTATGGGTCTCTCTGTGAGTCTGTGGGTCTATGTGTGAGTTTGTGGGTCTCTGTGTGAGTCTATGGGTCTCTGTGTGAGTCTATGGGTCTCTGTGTGAGTCTATGTGTCTCTGAGTGAGTCTATGGGTCTCTGTGTGAGTTTATGGGTCTCTGTGTGAGTATATGGGTCTCTGTGTGAGTCTATGGGTCTCTGTGTGAGTCTATGGGTCTCTGTGTGAGTCTATGGGTCTTTGTGTGAGTCTATGGGTCTTTGTGTGAGTCTATGGGTCTCTGTGTGGGTTTATGGGTCTCTGTATGAGTCTAGAAACGAGTTTACCACGTCGGCTTTCGCGACCAATAATATTTGTAATATTCAAATTGTAAAGACTGTGGATTTGCTCTCCAACACAACCGGTGGGCTGAAGCAGTAACCAGTTGGTGCGTTGTTTACGTGACAAACCTTACGGCTGTGTCGGGTGATGGAGGGTTACGACACATTTATACTTACGCAACCTAACCCAAAAACCTTTGTTATGACTAAAGAAATGAGTTAGCGAGTGCCTATGTAGGCCAGCGTCCCCTAGTGTAGTTGTAAGGCCAGAACCACACTCACACACGCAACAACGACAAGATCCCACTGGACCGCTCCATGTAGCCTTAACAGACTGATGGGGCAAGTGCTGTTAGCGAGTATCACCCATGAAGACTGACGTTGCATACCAGGGGGTGGGTGGCCAGCACCACGCCCGACCGCCTTTGTCTCTCCAATGATGTTTACACACCGCACCAGGTAACTCATTTAAGGCTGAGTCGACATCGGGGAGGCCCAGCACCGGCTCAGATCCCCTTCACCGAGGTTGGACGTGAGCAAGAATTGAAGTCGGATGGGGTCGGGCTCGTAGCGCAGCGCGCTAACCGCTGCACCACCGCTCCTCGCGCGCACACACACGGACGTGCGCGCGGGTGCATCGGCACACGTTTCAAGGCCAGAGCCGCTGTCATACACGTGGACGGTGAAGGTCATGGTCACGGCAATGCAGCAATACAATGACAATGAATGGGGCTTGAAATAATTATTCAATTAAAGAAGTTAACGTGGCTCACTTTTTGCTAAATATGTAGCGAGCAGATTTAGACTTAAAACTTTCGTGACTGCAGGAATTCATCTACTTGGTTCTTTCGGTAAAGTCACGTAGATATAAAATAAAAAATAAAACAAAAAACCCACGATGTTTCGATCGCAACACCAGCAGTCTTCATCAGGCGGATCAGGCGGATGAAGACTGCTTGTGTTGCGGTCGAAACGTGGGCTTTTTGCTTTTATTTTAGAATTTTTGTTTTCTATTTACGCGACTTTACCGAAAGAGCCAAGAATATGCAGCGAGCAACTTTCGGGTGCTGACTTCGTTGCCACAGTTGTCCCTTGCGGAGTTTTTGTGTTCGCACTGTTGTATACTAACCCTTCTTCCATAATTGAGATTAATAATATTTGATGATTTTTATATATTATCTTTTTACTTGTTTTTTTTAATGAGTGAAACACACCAAGCGCAGCAAACTGCAAAACACCAGGTGTTGTTAAGTAATGAACCGGAGGAGGGCTAGGATGGCAGAATTTACAACGTTGCTTCAAGGGAAGATAAGGCCTGATGAACGGGCACATGTCACCCGTGCAGGCGGCAGATACAGTGGGAGTGTCAGCCAGACATAGTTAAGGCAAAAGCCCAATCATCCTGCATGGTTTTAAAGTAACGTCAAAATTCGAAATTCAACAACAGAGTAGGCTAAATTATCGATCCTCGCGCTCGCTCAAATTGGAGACCAGGCTGCGAGCTACATCAATGAACCATTGCCCATTTGCTAATCCAATACTGAATGTTAATATTACTGAAGTCAAAACGAATTCTATGACCTCAGCACATGGGCAAATAATAGGGCAGTGTCGACTCAAAGGCAATGGAAGAAACAGAGGCGCCTTTGTCTAAATCACAACCACAGAAAGCCAGGAATCATCACTGATTGTGTGTTCAGGAATTCCGAGCTAGTTAGAACACGTGCACAGGGGGGGAGCTGATGTAAACAACCCTGCGCGTCTGGATGTGAGGGGGCCTTGGACCTGGAATCAAGAATAAACACTCCCAGAGCAGAAGGTTGCACAGGGGGAGAGGTGATTTAAAAGAGGGTTGTATATCTCTCAAGGCACAAGACCCAGCTGAACAACACGGCTGCGGGGGTCACCAGAAGTTCGCATTCGCCTAGTTAAGACAAAAAGCTCAATTATTCTGTATTGCTATTAAAGTAACGTTAAAGTCGGAATTTAACAACAGGGTAGGCTAAAGTTATCGATATTCACACCCACTCCAATTAAACCAGGCCACAAGTTACGCCTACTGAACCATCACCATTATTAAGTCAATATGAAATGTTATTTCCATACTTCAATACTTTCTATACAATTCGACCCGAAGCATATAACAATCAGAACCTTCCTAAGTCAAAATTGAATCGCACCCAGACAGGAGCGAATAGTCAATATAAGGTTGAAGAGGGAAGGAAATCAAGAGCACGGCGAACTGCAAACGTAAGCAAAAAGCCGGGAACAACACCAGCCCAGCAACAGCGAGTGGGGCTTCGACAGGCCATAAAGTAGAATAATAACTCCCGGGGTCAGGGGACACAAGAAGAAGCAGGCAGACAAAAACCAGAACTGACTCCAAGGTTCAACCGCCCTCACCTACTCAGGAGTGACGGAAATTAATGAGGCCTTGAATTAACGGCAGGCAACAACAACGGCGAGCAGAGATAGGGTGGGGCAAAGACTGCGGACCATGGAATGCAACTTCGTGTCAGTAAAGCCCTGACAAACAAGTTAAGTTAAAGACATCACAATACATAATATCGCACATAACATCAATGTTAACGCTATTCACCGTAAACTATATTCCGCTTATATAACCATCCAGGCACCAAGGAATACGAATTCCTAGGATCAAGAAACTTACCCCTTAACCTAAGATATCGGAAATAAATTAATAGTAATAAGTATATGCATGAAAAGACAAAGTAAAACTTATGGAAAAGCCAGGATAACGGGATGAATCACCACCAGGTCGAATATAAATACATAATAAAAAAAAAAACAATGTTAAACCCAGGGTCGGAGAGAAAGGGAGATCCCGGCCGTCTTTGTATCCCCGCAGCGCGGGATAGGAGTGTGTGTACGCTCGGGGAAACACCTACACTTGGGTCGGGAACCACGATGGGAAACGACAGACCTTAGGTTACATACAGAATCATAACTGTGAAATAGTAAGGGACAAATGTTAACTTAAAACTTTTAACCATTTCTTTGTGCGCCGGGTCGGAGAGAGTGTTGCCCCCCTCCAGGTTGTGCAACACGAACAAAGACGCCTATGAGACGATTTGTAACGTCTGTGTTTTGGGTTCATGAAGAAGGCCAGACAAGAGATAAATTGCACCCAGACAGAGAGACGACTTCGAGACAATTTGTAACATCTGGTTGTTTGCTCGTGGGTTTTATGGAGGGAGTTGACAACGGAATATACCGTCAGTGATGCACACAAGGACATACGGACACACACATGGACACACCTGCCTACGGACAGATCCTGACACAGCAAAAATCGGAAGCCCCGCCTTGTGGGCGGGATCCAGGGGGATTTTTCAGCATAAAGGAACGGATCCTGAACATTGGAAACCAGTGCGACGGGAGGGTCCACTCAGAAGCTCGACCGGGAGGGTCGACTCAGCAGG